ATTTTTACTTTCTAAAAATGGATCACATTCTATATGCTATTCTGTAATTTATACTTTTAAGCAATATACCTTAGCTGCTTTTCTATGTCAGTGAAAATTGATCTGCCATAATATTTTTCATTCTAAAACATGAATATGTATTTCATTGCATGGCTGTACCAAGTTTCTTGTCCAAATCTCTAGGACATATTTCCCCCAAATGTTAACACCTCTGGGATTAGGATGGCACTTATACTCTACAGTCTATACCATTTTAAGATTGATCTTTAGTCTGTGTTTATGACCCAGTCATAAGGGTATGTAGCCACATCTGAGCTTGGCACTAACTGTTCATCCCTTTCATGGAGTTATATGCATTGTCAGCACTCTAACAATTGGGTTTAGTTGTTGTTCAAAATGTTCAGGAAATGATAGCGCTATAATTTTTTTAATGAAAATATAATCTGAACACTAAGCAGTGTGGGGTATACATGATTATAATTTTATTCCTCCACAAAGGAATGATCAAAATGCTTTATGATATTAAAGAAAATAAGATATTCCTAAATAATGAAGTTATGGGTCCCCTGCCTCTCACCGTCCTTCCGTCTTTTCCTGTGAGTCACCAGCCGACCCACCTGCACAGGGACCGATCCTGAAAGGAGAAATTGGCCTCACTCTTTCGCCATGCCTGGCTTCTGTAGTGTCATTGCTATGAAGAAAGTGGTTCATTAGCTTTGGCTGGAAGCTGGGCTAAAGTGCGTGAAGGTTTCCCAGGCAGCTGTGGATTTGAAACAATTCTGTCTGCAGAATGCTAAACATGACCCCTTGCTGACTAGAGTATCTTCAAGTACAAATCCCTTTAGACCCCAGAGAGTCTGTTCATTTTTGTAGACAAATGAATCTTTCAAAGGTTTCCTAAACCACTCTTAAGAACCAGTGAATATTCAAAGGACAGCTAAATATGAGCCTGTACGAAAGGTTATCCCTACAAACATATGGACCATACTATACAGATTTCTACTTTTGTCAGTTCTTAACATCTACCTTTCTGAATTTTCATGAGTTTCTATTTCACAGGGGTAGTAATTATTTTATATACACTGGCACCCGCATATAATAAAGTCCTTGGTATATAAAAATAATGAAGTTAGGTTCTTATTTATTACTGAGCTCATTTGCAAGCAGATTACCTATCATTGTACACCAAGCAAGGTAACTCAAAGTTGATTTCTCAAGTGATATTTTGATGAATGGGAAGCTAGAATGAACAATTCATATCAAGGAGTTGTATCATAGTTTAAGTGACAACAGTTTTTTTTAGTGGCATATAAAATAGCATTGATACCATCAACAACATCTAAGAGTAAATGAACCCATTACAACTAGCAGTTACTATGTTGTGGACTTTACATATATTTTCTTATTAAATTTTTCAGAAAAATTGGTATTAGAGAGTTCTCATGCACCCCACATCTAGTTTCCTCATATTATTAACGTTGTGGTGCTGGAGAAGAGTATTGAGAGTACCATGGACTGCTAAAAAAAACAAACAGATTCATCCTGGAGAGGGTTAAACCAGGTCACTCCTTGGAGGCAAGGATTCTGGGGCTTCGTCTGACATACTTTGGGCATGTTGTAAGGAGGGACAGGTCCTTGGAGAGGGACATCATGCTTGGGAGGGTGGAGGGACAGTGCAGGAGAGGAAGACCCTCTATGAGGTAGATTGATTCAGTGACTGGGGTAATCGGGATGGGTGTGTCAGAGGCAGTGCGATTGGCACAGGACAGAGCAGGGTTTAGGGCTGTTGTACATAGAGTCGCTATGAGTCACAAGTGACTCGAAGGCACATAACAACAACAACAAAGACAACAACAACAGCAACAGCAACAGCAACAACATTGTATAGTAGAGGAGCTCTGGTAGTCTATCAGCAGGGAATTGTGCTGTTGATACAGAGCCATATGGTTCTAATCCACCAGCTATTCCTCAGGAGAAATATGGACAATGTCCTCCCCTGTGCTTCATAGCTTCTGAGTCACTTCCAATTTGACAGCAACACACATTACACAGTACAATTGCCACACTTTATGAACCAGCACTGGTATATTATTAACTAAATGTGTTATTAACTAAAATTTATCATTTATTTTGGCTTCTAATTTTTACTTAATATCCTTTTCTGTCCCAGGATCCCATCTAAGATCCCACATTATATGTAGCGACCATGCTTCAGTAGGCTCTGCTTAGCTGTGCCGTTTTCTTAGGTTTTCCTTTTGGACTTTTTTTTTTAAATGACTTTCCCAAGTGAGGGGTGGTACTGGTCAAATATTTTGTACAATGCTCTCCTATTGAGATTCATCTGATAATTTCCTAAGTAGTGTAATTTAATAAGTAGTAGTTTGTGGTTACTGGGTTTCCACACTATACACTTTTTCTTGTTCTCCACTTCCCATACAGTACCTTTTGGAATTAAGTCATTATATGTAGCCCTCAAGTAATGAGGGATTTCTAATACCCCTCCCTATTGGAATAGTGGCAAGAAACTGTGCTGCAATTCGAAAAACACTCAGTTTGAGGCCACCAGCTGCTCCGCCAGAGAAGGATTGGCAATCTCCTCCCATGCAATTAACTGCCTCTGAAAACCCACTGGAGGGTCCACTATGGGTCAATTCCAACTCTATGGTAGACACAACAACAACAATGATAGAGTAGGGAGCTCTGGTAGCCTAGTGGCAAGAAGCTGCACTGTCATCCTGAACTCAGAGAGTTCAAGACCACCAGCTTCTCCACCGGAGAAGGATGGGCAATCTCCTCCTATGCAATTAACTGCCTCTGAAAAAAACCCTTTGGAGGATCAGCTATGGGTTGGTTTTGACTCTACAGTACACAACAAAAACACCACCACACCAAAGGTGGAGTATCTACGTAAATTATGGAGAAATGCACAATACATTTTCTTCTTCCTCTATATTTATTTGTCTTTTTTTCTGTCTATCAGTGAATAAACCAATGGATATTTCATAGTTTGGCTTTTGTTGTTGCTGTGAAGTGCCCTCAGGTCAACGTTGACTCATAGTGGCTCTGAGAACAGCAGATTGGAATCTTGCCCTACCCTGCACCATCTCATGACCTCTAACATGCTCAAGCTCATTGCTACAGTCACTGTGTCAATCCATCTCATTGAGGGTGGTCTCTTACTATCTTTTCCCTCAAATAATCCTAGATTACTCTTTTAGTTGGCTTGTGTGTCTCTTTGGCATGCCTTCACTCATTTTTTTTTTGGTGTCTGTGTGTGTTTTGTTGTTGTTGTTTGCTTTGCTTTGCTTTGTTTTTAAGAACTTCCTTACTCTCTGGAATCTAACTGAATTTTTACAATTCTTGAAGTATGAATTATCTCTATATTTACAGATGAAGAAATAGAAGTTTCAAGTGATTAAACAATTTGGTCAAAATCTTAAAGAAGCAAATGATAGAATTTGAATTTTGATCTATTGGATGGCTTTTAATAAATAGGCAATAGTGATTTTTTAAAAAATGTATCCAATCATATATAACTCTCAGAAAAAAGAATTCTATGGTTATAATCTGGTAGAAACGTGCATTTCTATCTTTGTTTTGAACTAAGAAGGAAAAAATGTATCTGCCTGGAGCCAAATAAATTATTTTTGGAATCCCATAAGCCTTCGAGTGAGTGGGTGGAACATTCAGGATGAGTCCAGATTAGTGTCCACCCAAACTCCCAGAGTTCCAGTTAGCCACAGTTCAGGGCTCACCCACCCTCTTGTAGGAGTATATTTGTTCTGCTGTGCAGATGTTTTTATGAGCCTTCCACTGGAGTATGCAAGGCTGTAATTTTGTTTCTAATATTTTAAACCAAAACATTCCTTTCATTAATTCCACCAGGTTTTATGACAGTCAATTTCTCTGGTGGAATGAGCATACACTAATAAGAAGAGTCTCCCTGGGGGTCAGGTAGTGGCTCAGGGCAAGGCCTGGAAGGCCCTAGGCCTTGGGGCAGCAGCGAGGGTCTCTCTAGGTAAGGGGGTGCCGGCACAAGGCAAGGCCCAGCAGGCCCACTTAGAATCGTATGATTTACTGTTCTAGGAATGAAAAATCGACGACGAATGGTGTGCCGTTCATAGTTTAAAAAACCATCTCAAGATCTATTCTGAAGTGCACTGTTTTCAGTGACTAAATAAATATACAAGGAAGACCTGTCAACACAACTGCTATTCAAGTGCATGCACTAGCTTTTCTGCCGCAGGACGCTGCCGAGGAGGCATCGCTAACGCGTTTATTCCCACCACTGTCATGTCAAAGTCAGAGTTTCCTGAAGAGCCCGAACAGCTGCAGAAACTATTCATCAGAGGGTCGAGGTCTGAGGAGCCATTTTGAGCAATGGGGACGCTCACGGACTGTGGTAAGGAGAGATGCAAACACCAAGCGCTCCGGAGGCTTTGGCTTTGTCACATTACTCCAATGTGGAAGAGGTGGATGCAGTCATGAATGCAACACCCTCCAAGGTGGATGGAAGGGTTGAGGAACCCAAGCGGGCTGTCTCAAGAGAAGAGTCTCAAAGACCACATCGCCACTTAAGGGAAACAAAAATCTTTGAAGCCCTGCCCTGCCCTCCTCGCCTGCTGCCCGGTCCTCGCAGCCAGCACGGTCCACTAGGCCTGGACCGCCCGCTGGCCTGACCCCCGCTGCAGCCATGGACGGCATCCAGAAAACGAAGCAACTCAGTCCCATAAGGATAAATATTGTATAAAACCGTTATTGTAGAATAAGGATCCAAGGGGAGTGGGACAGGCTGGAAGCAGAGGGATGTGGATGTGCAGGGGGAAGGGGAGATTAATCATTGGGTTGTACAATTTGATGGGTTAGGGGGGTGAGGGAAAATGAAAGAATGTGTTCAAATTTGTATTTAAATTTTGTAAATAAGTAGAAAAATAAATAAATAAATTTTTAAAAAACCAAACCACTGGACCAAGATAAAGAGAAAAGAAAATTAAAAAAAGAAGAACATGCAGATGCTCAAGTTGGACAAGGATAAAGCCATCTATCATGCCGAGCAGGACGAGGCCGACAAGAAGCAAGCAGAGGACCGCGGCAAGCAGCTGGAAAAGGAGCAGAAGCCAGAAAAAGCTCAGGGGATGGAGGATGAAGTGGGAAAGTATTCTGAGTCCATGAAGGATGCCCGGGAGAAACTGGAGCAGGCGGAGAGGAAAACCACCCACGCTGAAGCAGATGTGGCCTCCGTGAACTGCCACATCCAGCTGGTAGAGGAGGAGTTGTACCGGTGCAGGAGCGTCTGGCCACAGCCCTGCAGAAACTGGAGGAGGCTGAGAAGGTAGCTGATGAGAGCAAGAGAGGAATGAAGGTCATTGAAAACCGGGCCATGAAGGATGAGGAAAAAGATAGAGCTGAAGGAGATGCAGCTGAAGGAGGCAAAGCACCTCGCTGAGGATTCAGATCGCAAATATGAGGAGGTGGCCAGGAAGCTGGTGATCCTGGAAGGAGAGCTGGAGCGCTCAGAAGAGAGGGCCGAGGTGGCTGAGAACCGAGCCAGGCAGCTGGAGGAGGAACTTCGAAACCATGGACCAGGCCCTCAAGTCCCTGATAGTCTCAGAGGAGGACTACCCCACCAAAAAGGATAAATATGAAGACGAGAAGGTGAGGGAGGCTGAAACTCAAGCAGAGTTTGCTGAAAGGTCTGTGGCCAAGTTGGAGAAAACCACTGATGATCTAGAAGAGACCTTGGCCAGTGCCAAAGAGGAGAAGTGGAGATACACCAGACCCTGGACCAGACCCTGCTGGAACTGAAGAACCTGTGAGGATCAGCTTTGCTCTGGCTAGGCTAGAGATGCCACCTCCAACTCAATAAAACTTCTGTTAGCAGAAAAAAAAATCTTTGTTGGTGGAATTAAAGAAGATACTAAAGAACATCACTTATGAGAGTAGTTTAAGCAGTACGGGAAAATTGAAGGAATTGAAATCATGACTGACAGAGGCAGTGGCATGAAGAGGGGCTTTGCCTTTGGAACTTTTGATGACCATGATTCTGTAGAGAAAATTGTTATTCAGAAATACCATGCTGTGAATAGTCACAACTATGAAGTAATGAAGTCCTGTCAAAGCAAGAGATGACCAGTGCTTCTTCCAGCCAAAGAGGTTGGAGTGGTTCTAGAAACTTTGGTGGTCGTGGAGGTAGTTTTGATGGGAAAGACAACTTTAGTCGAGGAGGAGGCTTTAGTGGCAGCTATGGTGCTGGAGGATATGGAGGCAGTGGAGATGGTAATAATCTATTTGGTAGTGATGGAAGCATCTTTGGAGGCAATGGAATCTATAATGATTTTGGCAATTACAAAATCAATCTTCAAATTGTGGACCCATGAAGGAAGGGAACTTTGGAGGCAACAGCTCTGGCCCTTCGGTTGGAGGTCAGTATTTTGCCAAACCATGAAGCCAAGGTGGCCATGGTGGTTTAAGCAGCAGCAGTAGCTATGACAGTGGCAGACAGTTTTAATAACTGCCAGGAAACAAAGCTTAGCAGGAGAGGAGAGCCAGAGAAGTGACTGGGAAGCTGCAGGTTACAACAGATTTGTGAACTCAACCAGGCAGAGTGGTGGCAGGGCCTACTTGCTACAAAGAGGACATGTTTTAGACAATACTCCTGTGTATGGGCAAAAACTCAAGAGCCGTATTTGTGACTAATTGTATAACAGGTTATTTTGGTTTCTGTTCTGTTGAAAGTGTAAAGTGTTCTGAAATCAGGGAGTTTAACGTAAATTTTTTTCCATGCATGCTGTTGATTGCTAAGTTTAATAGTCTGATTATGATGCTGAATAAAAGTCTTTTAAAAAATAATGTCTTTAATGCACACCCATGATTATTGCGGCTTTGTTCACAATAGCAAGGAGTTGGAAACAACCTAAGTGCCCATAAACAAATGAATGGACAGAAAAGCTGTGTACAGAGTGTACGCCAGGAAATTTGGAAGAGAACTATCTGGCCAACTACTTGGGGCGGGGGGGGGGGGATAATCCATAATTGTTCCCATTTCTGAGAAAGATGATCCAATACAGTGTGGAAATTCTAGAACAATACCATTAATATCTCATGCAAGCAAAATGTTGCTGAAGATCATTCAAAAAATGACTAGAACAGTACATTGACAGAGAACTGCCAGAAGTTCAGGCTAGGTTTAGAAGAAACTGTGACACCAGGGATATCATTGCTGATGTAAGATGGAGCTTAGCAGAAAACAGAGAATACCAGAAGATTGTCTATTTGTGTTTTATTGACTATGCAAAGGAATTTAGCAGTGTGAATCATAACAAACTATGAGTAACTCTGAGAAGAATTAGAATACCAAGAAACTGAATTATGCTCATATGCAACCTTAACCTAGAGCAAGAAGCTGTTGTCTAAACAGAGTAAGGGATCATTGTGTGATTTAAAGTCAAGAAAGTATCACTTCTCCAAACCTAATCAATCTGTACTCTGAGCTAATAATTTGTGAAGCTGGATTCTATGAAGAAGAATGTGGCAATAGGATCGGAGGAAGATTCTGACACAACCGTGCTTGCCAAAAGTGAGGAGGACTTGAATTGCTTCCTGCTGAAGATCAAAGACTCCAGCCTTCCATGTAGATGACATCTCAATATCAAGAAGACAAAAATTCTCACTACCAAGCTGATAGGCAATGTCATAATAAATGGAGAAAAGACTGAGATTATCAGTGACTTCCTCCACAATCAATGTCCTTGCTATCTGTAGTCAAGAAATCAAAAGACATATTACATTGGGAAAGTCTGTTGTTAGGGACTTCTCCAAATTACTGAGGAGCAATGATGTCAGTTTGAAATTTAAGGTTTACTTGATCTAGGCCATAATCTTTCCCATCGCTTGCTATGCATCTGAGAGCTAGACAATGAATAAGGATGACAGAAGACTTGAAGCATTTGAGTTGTGGTGCTGGAGAAGAATACTGAATATCCAAAAAAACCAAACAGGTATTTCTTAAAGAAAGTATAGCCAGAGCACTCCTTAGAGGCAAAGATGACAAAGGTGATCCCATGCTTAGATCCTATTGGGGCGCGCGGGGGGGGGGGGGGAACACACACACAAAAAACCAGCACAAACCAGTATGTGAAGCCTGACCACTAATTCCACAAGGCAGAATACCATCACAATCATTACAAGCACAATGCTAGGGAGCTCTGGTGGCCTAGTGACAAGAAGCTGCACTGCAATCCCAGAGTATGTGGTTTGAATCTACCAGATACTCTGCTGTAGAAGGAGGGGCAGTCTCCTCCTGTACCAGTCAGATCCAATTTGATGGTACACACAAAAAATAATAAAATTAAATTTAAAAAAACAAACAACCAAACTAGCACAATGCTAATTCCAGTGGGCTCAGACATTTCCTATACTCCCATATCCTTCTTACACTTCTATCACTAATCATCTCTTCCATAAATCTAGTTACTCCACTACTAGATTGACGATTTGTTGGAATGGTCACATCCCACAAAAGTCAAAGGATACTCATGATTATAAGGTTCATCAAGAAGGTAACAGGCTAAAATTCAGATTGGAAACACTCTGGTTATAATTCTTTAATCAGGATAATATCCTCTCAGCTTTGCTCAAAAACTGTCTTTGGGCTCTGCACCTCCCTAGAGCAACAAAGCTCTTGTTGTTGGTACTCGGGGTCGAGTCTGAAGCAGCTGGTAGTAGTTCCTCCAGAAGATTATCCATCTTTCTCCACAGAGCAGCTTCAGGATTCAAACCTCTAGGTTGACAGCACAGCTCCTTACCACTAGGCCACCAAAGCTCAGCTCATTTAGTTTTGCCAATTATGTTCTATCCTCACTTCCAAAGTCTAGTGGGCTGTCAAAATGGTCTATCTATGGCTAGGTTCAAATGGACATTCGTTGTAAACTACAGCTCAGGAGCCCAAACTTCCCTGCATTCCAGACCTATTGGTCTCCTCACTCAATCCTAGTTACCACATGAGGCCAAGTCAAGTAACAATTTCATGTTGCTTGGATGCACAAACAATACTCTTGGTACCAGCATTCAGGAAAACAGGAGACATACTGTATTGGGAAAGTCTGCAGTCGGGGACCTCTCCAAATTATGGAGGAACAATGATGTCCGTTTGAAAACTAAGTTGTGCTGATTCTAAAAAAAAATAAAAAAAATTAAAAAAAAAAAAAAAGTTGTGCTGATTCTGGCCATGGTCTTCTCAAGCACTTGTTACACATCTGAGAGCTGGACAATAAATAAGGATGTTAGAAGAATTGATGTCTTTGATATGTGGTGTTGGAGAAGAGTACTGAATAGCCCTTGAACTGCCAAAAGAATGAATAGACATGAATGACTTGGATAAAGTGCAGCTAAAATGCTCCTTGGAGGCAAAGATGACAATCTAACCTAACATGTGATGAGAGTTACACTAACAATGGGTAGAGAAGTAGTTTTAAATAATTCACTTCAGTACATTGGTTGAAAACAAGGTTATGTTCACAGGTCCCAGCGCTTACGACAGGGAACAAAATTTTTAAGGAACACAGTTCAAACCATAGTGATATTGAGTGTTGTTGGTTTTGTGTACCTTCCAGTTGGCATTGACTCAGAGGTGACCGTTTTCAGAGACAGTAAATATCATGGCCGTAATTGTGTGTGTTCTTTAGAGAGCAAGAATAAAAACAATAGATTAAAGACGAAGACAGTTATGGTACAATGAATTAAATAATTAAGTAGGCCTTTCCAGCCTTCGATTTTGTCTAGGTTTAAGATCTCAGTCTGGATGAATCTTTGTTTTGTTGAGGAGATGGGATTGGGGAGGAGGAGTCTTGAAGCTCCACCCT